GGATCGGTTTTTTGGAAGCCCGATCCTGGTCACCGATCCGTTTTAAACCATTGGTTGCAACCTTAAAATGTAGAATTAAAAAGATGCACTTAAAAAATCTATCTAAATAAAAAAATGTTTTAATGTTGAAAAACTCTCTAATTGATCATCTTGATATCAAGATGCATGAATATGAAAAAAAAAAGATTGTGTCCCAGAAATATTGCATGTTGTAACACATTATCTAATCGTCCATTTTCAAAATTTTCATATATTTATAGATCTACTAGATTTTAACTATTTTTGGAGTTTAAAATTTTATAATTAAATATGAAAATAGATTTTCCGATAATCCTAAGAATTTTTACACTAAAATTACATAGGTTGCAACCAATGGTTTAAAAATCGTCGAGTTGACACAGAATTGGCCGATTCGACCCTGGAATCGGTCATGCCGATTCTCGCTTATAATTGGAAATCTGGCGTGTTTAGAGGCGAAACGGTGATTCGTAGCGATAAATCGCCGGTTCGCTGCGAGTAGCAACAGTGATATAAGCAATTTCAACCGGTAGGGGTAAGCTCTGAAATTTTTTTAAAAATTGGGGGCCATATTTTTTGTGTGCGTTGTCAACCGTCATCATAACAGGACACGTCACTTGTAGGGCGATAACACAACAACAACACTCACAAACACTACAAACAGTTTATCCTAGGCAGTCCTTCCTTAAGGCTTCGATGTGGGATAATTCCCATCGGCAGGCATGCGAAATCATTAAAGTATTATCACAACCCCGCCCCTGGCCCCTGCTGTACTTGTCGAAGGGCAACAGAGTGCGGGATCGTGATCTAGGGTAGCGAATGCCACTCAAGTGGGAGTGCGCCCAACGCCTTAGAAAAACGGTAATTAAAACAAAACACAAAGAAAACAAAACTTCCACAAACACACACATGTACAACAAAAGCTGGACAACCCAGTGCTCAGACTGTAAATACACTGTACATGACTTTCTAAAGAGTTCCGGGCATCAAAGGCCCCATTTCATTACATAACTTCCAGAATTAAACAAAAAGAGTAAGGCCAAGCTGCCATTCTGAAACATACAATGGACAGAACTTTAGCGAAATAACGTGGCTCCAACCACAAGTCGTGGTCTCCGTGCCACCTGTCCTCGACCTGCTGCTATCAATCTACAAGGATGGAAGTTAAATGAATGAGTTATAAAGCCCAGTAAGTAGATCTAGATGTCATATATTACAATTATATCTAACTATGTGTCGTGAATGATTCTTTTCAGGGATGAGCAATTAAATGCAGATATCATATGAATAAGCCATTTATCAAACATTTCCATCACGAGCTTCAAACTATAACTCAACAAGCATAATAAGCATAAGCAATATTTAGCAAGCATTAACCAACTCACTCGTAATTCGCCTACTCCTGAAGTAGAAGCTCTATCCATCAGGCTTTATCTATCAGGCCAAGCCAATTCTATTGCTCAGGACTTCTAACATCACTCAGGAGGGAAGATAATGACAAGTGGGGGAATCCACTTATAATACCTTCACACACACACACACACAATCATCCTAACTCCCATCCTATCATAGGAAGTTAGGGAAAAATATTTCAACTGTTGGCGTAACGTTCTTATTAGATTAGACTCTTATCAGAGCATATTCTTGTCAAAACAGAGTCTTGTCATAACATATTATTATCGGAACAGATTCTTATCAGAGCAGATTCTTATCAAAATAGAATCTTGTAGGAGCACATTCTTATTAGAAAAGATTCTTATCAGAGCAGATTCTTATCACTACATAACGTGTGTCATATACACATATCATAACAGAACATATCTTACAACATGTTTTTATATCATAACAGAGCCCATCTCATTATCAAGCATTTTTACTACCACAGAGGATACCTTAATGCACACATATATGTCAAGAGCAAAATACAAGTCATAAAGCCCTTTTAAAAATATTTTCGAATTACTTTACTGGTTTGAGAAGTGAATATAGTCTACCTTTTCAAGCATAGTTTCTAGATCACAGAGAATTTTGGCATTGTTTCAAAACCCTTTTTGAAAGTAGACTCACTGATCTTTCAGTTAAAAGTGGTTTGGACTCATTTGGACATGATTTGGTAAGTAAATAGTTTAATACAAAAACATGTAACAGTTCTGAAATTTCCCTGCAATCACAACAGTGACACCTTAATAGAAAAAGGGACATAATTCTTAAACCAAAGAGAATTCCTGTATGGTTCCAAAACCATTTTTGAATTAGACTCACTGATCCTTCATTTAAAAGTGAGTTGGACTCATTTGGATATGATTTGATCAGTAAACAATTTAATACAAAAACATGTAACTGTTCTGAAATTTCCCTGCAATCACAACAGTAGTCTTCATAGAAAAAAAGACAATTCCTAAACCACGGAAAATTTTGGCATGGTTCCAAACTATTTTTGAAGTAGACTCACTGATATTTTATTTAAAAGTGGTTTGGACTTATTTGGTGGATATGATTTAGCCAGTAAAGAGTTTCATACAAAAAAATGTAAAGTTTCGAGAATTTCATATCACATATTTGGCATGTTCTAACAAAAGTCTCATAACTTGCCAATCACACGAGGGATTAATGTAAGGTCTTTTTCCTCTGAAAATATACTCAAAGAGGTATTTCCCCAAAAAATTTCATGGTTAGCAAAGTATTATCAATGCTTAAATAACTGCCCAATGGAGAGTCATAATTCTGGAAAACATAATGCATAAATAACTAAATTTCAGAAGCATGATTCTCCAAATACATTCATATTTCTACTCAATTTCATACTTAAACAATTAAATTGAACATGCATTCAAACTAAGCATGATATATGGATCTTGAATCTACTTACAGTACTACAAGGATTCCCAATGCACCCCAAAGGCCAAGCTCCAAGGATAGTTTGTGTCTTCAAGTTCTTAAGGCTAAGGGTTGGGCGTGAGAGAGAGAGAGCAAAGGCTTATGGAAGGTGAGAAGAGGGGTTTTATAATCATTAAAATGAAGATGTGGCAATATGCAAAAGCCATGTGTCACCACAAAGACATGCAGGTGCCACTTGGCACACTAGGCACATGCAAACAATCATGGGAGACCCTTGAGCTCGGCGGCACCACATTCTGCTACGCATGGCGGCACCCACAGAGACGACAACATCTCATGCACACGGCAATGTCTCCTGCTTCCTAATGCGCACGGTAGTCACTCACGTGCACAACATCACTCTCTCTCTTCTGGCGCACATGGTAGTGCCTTCTCATGTGCATGGTGGCACTCTCTCTTCTGGAGCGCACGGCAATTCCTTCTCACACGCACGGCGGCACTCTCTCTCTTTTGGCACGCACGGCAGTGCCTGCTCACGCGCACGATGGCACTCTCTCTTTTGGTGCGCACAGCAGTACCTTCTCATGTGCACGATGACACTCTCTCTCTTCTGGCATATACGGCAGTGCCTTCTCATGCACACGGCGGCACTCTCTTTCTCTCTTCTGATGCTCACGGCAGTGCCTTTTCTTCTGGCACGCACGGTAGTGCCTCACGTGCCGACAACTCACAGGCGCACTACTACAAGCAAGAAAGTCATGGTCCTTAAGTACAAACCACACCCTCTTACAAATTTGTTGTTATCTTACATGCAATGGGTCAGCACTCACCATAGCTAATAGGGTTGTTCTACATGATTGTGACCTCAATCTAATAAAGTTCGTGGTTTGTGTGGGTGATCTTTAGTCAACTAAAGTGATCCTTTGTCAATTCGGTTTACTTTTACATGAAGTTGATGTCCACAAGAATAATAATTTACAAAAATTAACATAGTTATATGAAATTATTGTTTGTTTATGTGAATAACTTAAATATAATTATGTTAAATTTATGTCAATATAATTATTTTTATATACATTAAAATTATTTTTAAATTATATAGAATTTTTTTCTAATATTTTTAAATTATTTTGATGTAATATTATATTTTATATTATAATTAATAGTTATAATACTATATTATAATGCTATATTATAATTACAAAACAGATCGGTGCCCCGGATCGGGCACCCCAAAAACCCATCATTTTTTTATTTTTCTTGTCAAAAAATAAATAAAAGGTAATACAACAAGTATTTTTTGTTATTTTCTTATTTTTCTCATAAAAAAATAACTAAAAAGTACTACAACAAGTATTTCTTGTCAAAAAAAAATAAAAGGTATTTCTTAATACAACAATTATTTATTGATATTTTCTTATTTTTCTCATCAAAAAAGTAAAAAGTAAAACAAGTATTTCTTGTCAAAAAATAAAATAAAAGGTAATACAACAAGGATCATATTTTTCTTGTCCATGTATGATTATATACTTTATCCATGATAATTCTATGATTTTTTTTTTTTTGTGATGTAAATTTAATAGTTAACATAAGTTCATACAGGGAAAGAACATCTCAATATTCGTAAATTGACAAAAAAAATGAAAGTTAATAACATAGTACCCCCATTTCATATTGGATTCAGAAAAAACAACATTTATAATGAATTTTAATAATTTTTTTAGATTTTTTTTAAGGCTTAATCCGATCGATTCAACCGATTCACTGTCCGAATCACTGATTCACCGATCTGGATGAGTTTTTTGGGTGTCTGATATGAGGCACCGATTAGTTTTTTAAACCACTGGTTGCAACCTTATAGAAACCACACCCTTTAAATATATTTCATATATTGTGACCCAAAAAATAGTTCCGGACCCACTGGGTCCAATTTTTGGACCCATATCTAAACCCAGATAAGGTTTACCTCTTGAGTACCGAGTTGGGTTCTGGTCCATTGCTACCCATATTCTAGCACTATCGGGCCCGTGAAAATTTTTTTTTTTTTTTTCTATTTTGATTTTTTTTTTTTGGATACTGTAGCCTGCCTGGACAAGGCCAAGGCTTAAGCCAAGTCCTACTAAACCAGTCTGCCCCAGGCCTGACTGCATATGGGGACCAGGCTTTGCCCAGGTTTGACGTGTTGCAGGCCTTCGTAAATACATAATCTTCTCTCCGTCCCTCACGTACAAGATTAAAACTCCCCCCCCCCTCTCACAAACGCACGATATAAAACTCCTCTCTCTCTCTCTCTCTCACTCTCATCGGCCTAGATGAAACTTTTGCAAGCCATTTGTATGACTAAAACACCAGCCTATATCAACCTGCATGGCCCTGCTACAAAAATCTACATCATCTATCACAATAAGCTTCCCATATGGAAGCCATCCATCACTCTCTCTATACCAACACCTTCCCTGTTCAACAACAGGGATCATCTTACAACTCTCTCTCTCAAGATGAACGAGTCCTTCATCCTGGAAGAAGAAAAAGAAGAAGGAGAAGAAGAGAGTGAAAATTCAGACCAGCCATTCAATTCAGACTTTCTGGGTTCCATGATAATGAGCTGTACCAGCAAAAAAACCCTTTCTCATGGCATGTGCATCCATGGCTACATAATAAAAAGTGGCTTCATGAGAGAAACCTTCCTCTGCAACAATCTCATCAACATGTATGCAAAGTCTGCGAAGATCGATCATGCCCAGAAAGTATTTGAGAATACTACTCATCGCAACATTGTCTCTTGGACCACCATGATTTCAGGTTTCTTCCTCTCTTTCCCATCATGGCCTCTTTAGAGAGAGACAATTGGCTTTAGATAGAAGAAACTGTCTTAGAGAGAGAAGGTACTAGTTTTACAGAGATAAAGTCTAAGAGAAATTACTAGCATATTGAACCAAGAACATAAATTCCATCCTTTTCAGTCTAAACCTGAAACCAGGGAGTACTAATTTCAGGTTACGCAAGCATCCCCGACATGAAAAACATCGTTGAGCTCTTTATGCGAATGCATGTAGAAGAAGAAGCCATGGCTCCAAACCAGTTCACATTTGGTAGCATTCTCAAGGGTTGCACCATCTCAAGAAATCTCAAACTGGGCGGTGTGGTCCATGGAAGCTGTATCAAATTTGGGATTGATTTGGACCCATTTATAGCCACCACGCTTGTGGACATGTACGCGAAGCTCGGAAGAATCGAGTACTCACTCAAGATCTTCTCTCAAGCGCCAATCAAAGATGTGGTGAACTGGACGGCCATGATAGCAGGTTTGATCCATCATGGGCAAGAGGACATGGCTAAGAATCTCTTTCTCGACATGCTCCGATGTGGAGTCGAGCCTGTATCAGTTACATTTGTGAGCCTCGCAAAGATTTTCAATGAACCAAGAATGTTAAATGAGGCCAAGCAAGTTCATGGCCTCATTTTCAAGCATTGCATGGAGCTTGATGCTCTTTTGGGGAGTGCTCTCATAGCCATGTACGGCAAATGTGGGAGCACGGACGATGCATTTAGGCTTTCAACCAGGCTTCAAAGCAAGGATGTTATATCACACACCGCATTGCTTGTAGCATATGCACAAAATGGTTTTGACCATGATGCCATGATAATGTTCCATGGCATGATAGATGAGAACATGAAGATAGACTCTTTTGCTATCGCCGCTGTTCTTGGGGCTTGCTCTGGTCTCAAAGCCTCAAAAGCTGGTAAAGAACTCCATGCTTATGCAATAAGGAAAGGCTTCATATCAGATATCTCAGTTCGAAATTCCTTAATTACCATGTATGCGAAATGTGCTGAGGTTCAAAAGGCATCTACTATGTTTGATATGATGCATGTTCAGGATGTCATTTCCTGGACTGCCATGCTCGCATGCTATGTACAGAATGGGTATGGGGAAGAAGCTCTCATACATTTTCGCTGCATGATTCGAATGGGACTAAAACCTGATATGTTTAGCATAACTGGTGCATTGAGGGCATGTGCCACCATAGCCACCCATGGGTCAGGTGGCCAAATACATACATGGGCGATAAAAACAGGGCTCCAAATGAACATCTCAGTGGAGAATGCTCTTGTTACCATGTATGCTAAATGTGGATGCATACACGATTCATATGGGCTATTCGAATGCATGCCCCATAAGGACATTGTCACATGGAATGCCATAATTGCAGGGTTTTCGCAACATGGGTTTGGAAAAGAGGCTCTTGCCCTTTTCAGGCATATGAAATATCAAGGCTTCCAACCTGATGACTTCACCTTCCTTGCAGTCATAGTGGCATGTAGCCATGCCGGCCTTGTTAATGATGGCATCAGGTACTTCAAATCCATGCATGAGACGTACGAGCTTGAGCCCAAAATGGAGCATTATGCATGCATGGTTGACTTATTCGGTCGAGCTGGAAGGCTCAATGATGCAAAGAAATTCATAGATTCTATGCCTATTGAGCCCGAATTGCCTGTATGGGAAGCCTTGCTTGCAGCCTGTAAAATACATGGTGATATAAGGCTTGGTAAATTAGCAGCTGTAAAAATATTAAGGCTTAGACCAGAGCAACCTTCAACTTATGCTCTTCTCTCTAACATTTATGCATCATTGGGTGAATGGGATAAAAAAGCAGAGGTTCTAACCATGATGAAAGATCAAGGAGTAAAAAAGGAACCTTCAAGAAGTTGGATTGAGATTAGAGGCATAGTCCATGGATTTGCGATAGAGGATAAGTCCCATCCTCAAACACCACAAGTGTATTCAAAGCTTGAGGAGCTCAAGATCAAGATGGAGGAAATGGGTTATGTGGCAGATACAAATTTTGTTCTTCATGATATTGAACAAGAGCAAAAGGAGTATTCGCTTCTCCATCATAGTGAGAAGTTAGCAGTGGCCTTCGGTCTTATTAGCACTGCAAAAGGGTCACCTCTCCGGATCATGAAGAATCTTAGGGTTTGTGGGGATTGTCATACTGCGATGAAACTGATTTCAAAGATTGAGGATCGAGTGATTGTGTTAAGGGACACAAATAGATTCCATCATTTTGTTCACGGGGTATGTTCCTGCCAAGATTACTGGTAACCCAAAATAAGAACAGGGTAAAAAGGTTGGCCCTCTGGGGCAGGATTCTGACAGTCGACCAACTCCAAAAAAGAGGGTTCCAGTTACCAAATAGATGTGTGATATGCTTCTCGGACGAAGAAACAATTGATCACCTACCTTTTCCTACACTGCCCGGTGGCGTCACACCTTTGGAAATACATTCTATCTTTGTTCAACTGGGTATGGGTTACCCCTCATTCGCGACCTGATCTCTTTAAGTTATCGTGCTTTTTACTTGGCCCAAAGCCGGAGTGCTCCTTTGGAAAGCTACGGTGGTGGCAACCATTTGGTCCCCATGGAAGGAACGCAACAATAGGATCTTCCAAGGGACCTACGCCCCAAACCACAAGATCTTGGGGATGATTAAAGGCTTGGTTATTTTCTGGGCCTCCAACGATAAACACTTCAAAGGGATGGTGGCTCACAATTTTCACCTTAATTGGACTAAAGTCCTCTTTTTCAAGCCCCGCAAGATCCTCCGTTCTGTCCTTTGGAGACAACCAGAGAGGGGCTCTATCAAGCTCAACTTCGACGGTTCCTCTTTGGGCAACCCTGGCCCGGCTGGGGTTAGCGGCATATTCCGAAATCACGCCGGTATCACCGCCGTTCAACATTGAAGGGGATTCAAAGAATGTTATCTACTGGGCGTCTCACTTAGCACAACCCCTTTGGGGACTTTAGCACATATTTGACGAAATTCACATTCTCTGCAGGGGTACATAGGTCTCTTGGCTCGTATCTGGAGGGAGGCCAACCGCACAGCTGACGATCTTGCTAAAATGGGTGCAGCCATGGAGTAACTGGACGCCTCTAGTCTGGTGCAGTTTTTGGTTTTCATTTATCAAGTAATGGTTGTGGTTTATGTTTGCTGTTTTTTTCTTTTTCTTTTGTCTCCCCTCTCGGTGACCAGCCCTCTTGGGCATTTTTTGTACTTGTACTCTCTCCACCATCAACACAATGTTAATTACTCTCTCTCAAAAAACAAAAGGCCCACTTTCGGATATAATGTAACCAACCATATCATTTTCTGTTTTTTTGTTTTTTAACTGCATTCTTTTATTGATATTACAAAAAATGGAAGTGAACATATCATACCTCAATTGGGATGTAAAGTACATATGCTTCAAAAGCATTAATATGATCCAGATTGTGGAACAGGTTCCATAGGTGTTCTGTAATTGCTTGGCACTTGTTCTGTAATCAGGTGTTGCAAGGATGAAGCTTCCGAGAATAGCTAGTTCCTTTAAAGATGCTTTTGTCCCTTGAGCTCTTGTCCCTGGAATGCCATGGCTGCTCTTTCCTGGTTATTGGGCTTCCACGATATGATTCATCCCAAAGTGATAGCATCATTATTTGGTCATGATATCCATGGTTTTCTGAACCATCTCTGATTCAAAAAACGCACAACTAATGCTGGAAAGCTATTTCTCACTTTAGTATTGAAAATCCCAGAACCTTGTGTACGCATGAACACAAACACAAATCACAGATATGAGATGTTTAGTTGTGGATAGGTTGATCATCCACATTCATAGAGAGAAACTAGAACTGGCTTGTACCCTGCCACTGTCATCTGAGCATATAGTGAATCCAACACTTTGCAAATCTCTATTATTCGTGGGTGCCAGGCATCATCAACAGAGAAGACATGGACATGGTCTCTAACCTCTACCCAACTGTATCCGGGTTGCTTATGCGCTCCTCTCTCTCTCATCAACTTTCTGATCCTCTCTACCTCACCCCACCTACCAGCTGCCGCATTCATGTTTGATAACAACACATAATTTGAAGTCTTATATGGCTCCAACTCAAAAAGTTTCTCAGCTGCTAATGTTCCAAGATCCAAATTACCATGAACCCTAGAGGCCCCAAGCAAAGCACCCCAAGTACCTGCATTTGGTTCTATCTTCATGCTCTTAATGAGCATATAAGCCTCCTCTAACCTCCCTGATCGACCAAGCAAATCTACCATACAAGCATAGTGCTCGGCTATAGGCTTCACTGAATTATAATCTCTCATCATGCCATTAAACAATCGTAACCCACGATCAATCAAGCCTGAGTGGCTACAAGCTGAAAGCACACCCACAAATGTGATCTCATCAGGAGCTATGCTTGCTTCCTTTTGCATCCTCTCAAAGAGCTTGATTGCATCTTCTCCAAGGCCATGTGATGCATAGCCTGCAATCAATGAATTCCATGAGACTGCATCCATTTCAACCATCTCTCGGAATGCTTGTTCTGCACAAGAAACCTTTCCACATTTTGCATACATGGCTATGAGAGCATTGCCTACAAAGAGATCAGGGAAATATCCACTTTTGATAATTAGTCCATGCACTTGTTTCCCACACTGGAGTGCCGCTAGTCCAGAGCATGCACTGAGAACACTGGCATAGGTCGCACACTCTAGCTTCTCATGCAACCTCAGCATTGACACAAAGTAATTTAAAGCTTCTATGTATAGCCCATTTTGAGTGCACCCTGAAATCACAGAGTTCCAAGAGACCACATTTTTCTCTCTCATCTCTTCGAACATCTTTTGAGCCTTTTGCATGTTGCCGATTTGAGAGTACCCTGTTATCATGGTGTTCCAAGAGACCACATCCCTATGAATCATGGTTTTGAATATACACTCTGCTTCATCCATTCTCCCACATTGTGCATAACCAGAGATCATGGTGTTGTAACAGACAACATCAGGAGAGCTTATACAGTCAAATAGATGGCGAGCTTCTTCAATTCTGGCATTTTGTACATACCCCACCATCATGGCGGTCTCTGCAACCACGCTCTTACAAGGCATTCTCTCTAGCAAAGTTCTTGCCTTTACAAGACTACCCACCTGAACAAAACCATTTATTATAGAAGCCCAAGAGAGAGAATTACGCTCCGGCATCTTAGAGAATATCTCATAGGCATCATCTATCATAGAATTATGAACATAACCTGCAATCATAGCATTCCAAGCCACAAGATTACGCTCGGGCATTGTTTCAAAGAGCTCGTGAGCCTTTTCAGTATCCCCAGCTTGTGCATAACCGGTAAGGAGGGTGACCCATGAGACCACGCTCCGGTGTGGCATCTTATCAAAGAGCTCGTGAGCTTTGTCCATACTTCCCTCCCTAACCAATGCATTGAGTACCAAATTCCATGAAACTCCATCTTTTTGGGGCATCTTTTCAAAGAGAAAGAGAGCCTCTTTGGCCTCCCCATATCGCGAATATCCCGAAAGCATTGTGTTCCATGAGAAAACATCCTTTTGAGGCATGGTATCAAAAAGCTCTCGAGCTTCTGTGAGCCTGCCATTTCTAGCATAGCCAGAGACCATGGCATTCCATAAAGGAATGTCGTGATTTGGGGCCATCACAAAAAGCTTCTTAGCCATACCCAGTTGGCCATTATTAGCATAGCCTGTGATCATCAAAGTCCATGTGTATGCGTCTCTCATGGGCATGGCATCGAAGAGAGAGGACGCCTCTTTGACATGGCCATGATTCATGTATCCTGATAACATGGCATTCCATGATACGATGTTGCGTGATGGCATACGAACAAAGAGGCTGCGAGCATCAGACAGTTTGCCACTCTTAGAGTATGCAGATATCATTGCATTCCATGTAACCGTGTTTTTGTGAGTCATTTTTTCAAATAATGCGACTGCATCCCGTAGCCTGCCGGCTTTGGTATAATTGGTGATCTTCAGGTTTTGAGAGAAGAGGAAGCTCCCCCCACCTGCTGCCACTCTCAGTTGATGGGCCGCCATTGGGGTTTATCTTTTTTGTTTAGGCAAAAACGTTAGGAGTTGTGTCTCTTAATTGTGCCTTCCTGAGGAGAACAGAGAAGGTTCGACTCATTGGCAATGTTTCTCTCTCTTTACTGTTTACTGTTTACTGTATTACTAAATACCAGGACTCGTTATGGTTTCCCTTATATTTAATCAAGAGGAACTCAAGACAGCCCAAACTCCTAAATAACAGAGAGAGAGAGAGATGCATGTACTGATAGACCACGAAAGAATGACTTAAAAGAACCCAAATGTTTAAATGAGAGAGAGAGGCGCCAAATTCTAGAGAGAGATAGAGATGAATGTACTGCTATATTCCAGGACCAACTGAAACAGTGATAAGAACCTACAGCGAGAAGAACCCAAAGTAAGAGAGAAACCAAAATCTTGACAGGTTATAAACTATGGGGTGTCTATAGAGAACCAATTGACTTAAAATGCAAGACCGCGAGATAGAGAGAATCCACAATGCCTCCTGATAAATAAGAGAGAACCCAGATGCACTTGCCAATATTCCAAGGCCAGGATCAGCAAACTCGACTCAACATCCCCAAAAGACCTGCCACTCATATTCCATGGACTCTCCCTCTACCGCCCCCGCCCCAACTGCCTCGACTCTTACACTCTCTCATTCTTTTTCTACCAAACCCTCCACTCTCTCTCAAGCAGGCAAGGCAGGCCCACGCCCTCTTCACAGTCTCTGGCCTCCATCGCTTAGTCTCCGCAGCTGCTCGCTTGATCACCATTTACTCTCTCTGCAACGACCTCCACTCTTCGAGCCTCCTCTTCTTCAACCACCCCACAAAAAACACATTCCTCTTTAACACAATTATTCGAGCTCATACCAATGGTAATCAGCCAACCCAAGCTTTCTCTCTCTACAACGAAGCAATCCGAAGAGGCCTAAAACCAGATGATCACACTTTTCCTTTCCTCCTTAAGGCCTGTGCTGACTCTTTCTCTCTCCAAAAGGGTAGAGAGATCCATGGTTCCATTACAAAACTTGGGTTCAATTCAGATGTTTATGTAGGAAATACGCTTTTGGCCTTTTACTCGAGCTTGGGCAATGTTAGAGAAGCACTACAAGTCTTTGATGAAATGACTCTAAAAGATATTGTTTCTTGGAACACCATTATTCGTGGTTATGCTCAAAATGGTCATGGCCATGAGGCTCTTCAAATGTTCTCAGAATTGCAAGGGACAAGCCTGAGGCCTAATGAAGTTACAGTGGTTAGTGTCCTTCCTGTTTGTGCTTTGCTTGAGGATTTACAAATGGGTATAAAAATACATGAATTTGTAATGGGTTCAGGCTTGGATTCACAGTTAAATGTATGTAATGCTCTTGTTGATATGTATGCTAAATGTGGAGACACTGTAGCTGCTTATAATTTATTGGGTTCCAATGCTGAGAGAAATGTTATCACATGGAACTCTATCATCTCTGGTTTTGCTCAAACGGGCCTTGCAATTGAGGCACTGCAAATGTTCAGAGAGATGATACTTGATGGCCAAAAACCCAACTCAATAACAGTTACTAGCTTGCTTCCATCATTGGCTCAATTGCGTTTTCTGCCTTTGGCAAAGGAATCCCATGCTTTTAGCCTGAGAATTGGTGCTGAAACCGATATTTTTGTGGTGAATTCTCTTATTGATATGTACGCAAAATTGGGTTTCCCGGAAGAAGCTCGAATTTTGTTTGATGGGTTGGTTGTAAGGAATTTGGTATCTTGGAACGCTATTGTTGCAAATTGTGCACAAAACAGCTTAGAGGTGGAAGCGATGAGTCTTGTTCGAGAGATGCAGGCTAATGGAGAGTGCCCGAACTCTGTAACTCTAACAAATGTTCTCCCTGCCTGTTCACGATGGGCTTCCATAAAACATGGAAAGGAGATTCATGGCAAAGCGATTCGCTCAGGCTACAGCAGTGACATCTTTGTTTTCAATGCTGTAATGGACATGTATGTGAAATGTGGATACATAGGTCTAGCCAGACTAGTTTTTGATAAATCTGAAAGAGATTTAGTCTCCTTCAATATATTGATCATGGGTTATTCTCAGAGTTTCCATGCCTTAGAAGCTCTGCAATTGTTTTCTGAAATGGAGCTGGAAGCAGGCCTTAAACATGACACAGTTTCCTTCATGGGTGCCCTCTCTGCTTGTGCCAATCTGAGTGCCATTAAGCAAGGGAGAGAGATTCATGGCTGTGCAATAAGGAAATTCTTCGTATCTCATATCTTCGTGGCCAATTCTCTACTTGACATGTATACAAAAAGTGGGTGCATGGAAATGGCTAAGCGGCTTTTTGATAGAATCCCCGACAAAGACTTGGCAACATGGAATACGATGATATTGGGTTATGGAATGCAAGGAGAGTTTGAAGTTGCAGTTGATCTTTTTGATCAAATGGGAGTAGAAGGGATGGAATATGACTCTGTCTCTTTTGTTGCAGTCCTCTCAGCTTGCAGCCATGGTGGGATGGTAGATAGAGGTAGAGAATACTTCAATTTGTTGCAATCTTTTAACATAAGACCAACACAAATGCATTGTGCATGTATGGTGGACCTTCTCGGAAGAGCAGGCCTGATGCAAGAGGCTGTGGAATTTATAAAGGGAATTTCTTTTGAGCCAGATGCCAATGTGTGGGGTGCATTGTTAGGGGCTTCAAGGGTTCATGGAGATGTAGAAATGGGAGAATTGGCAGCGAAGCATTTGTTTCAGCTTAAGCCTGAGCACTCGGGTTATTATATTTTGTTATCTAATATGTATGCTGAATTGGGGAGGTGGGATGATGCAAAGAGAGTGAGAAAATTGATGAGGTCGAGAGGGGTGAAGAAGGATCCAGGGTGTAGCTGGATAGAGGTGGGTAATAGGTTGCATGCATTTCTAGTGGGACAAGATGCAGGTGAGGAGGAGAGGCTGATGGGATCTGGGTTATTAGAGTATGGTTAAACTATGTAAAAGGAGAATTTAATGTTATTTTAATTTTGATTTATGGAGACTGTTGTATATTACTAGTCTGAGGGGGAGAGATCTTGGGCTGAATAAGCTGGAGAACTAGTTTAAAAGGTTTTGAAAAAGCTGTTTCTTTCTATAACTGTTCGCAGAAGATCGTCTTCAAGATTTGTGGACCAACTTGGAAGATTTAGATGAGAGTCAGTTCGGCTCAAAAGGAATGTAGAAGCTTCATGGAAGAATCGGAAACGTGGATTAGGATTTCCTTGATTTACCCTTCATGAGAATTTGGAACCTGTGTAAGCGGTGGTGTTTCACCTTCAGCATTTGGTAGCTAACTCCTTAACAAATACTGGAACTCCAAGAGTATGAGAAATAAAGGACAAAGTCAAGGACCTTGGTTCATGGTTAATTTTCATATATATTCCTTTTGCAATGCTAAGTGACAATATAAGTTTCATTCATTGATTATTTTATTTTCATTAAATCTTCTAGGAAAAGAGATTTTTAGAAAGCAGTTCCACGTCTATTGAGTGATGGCCACGAGCCTAAGGATCTTAATAGGTCCATTTATGATCAAAGGGAATAGCTCACAATATTTACATCCTGTTGACTTTTCATCTTTCTGACAGTTATCCAGTTATTAAACTGCAAATATTACATACCCCCTCCTTCATTATTTACATTCATAAGAAAGATGAGAAGTCAAGAGGATGGTATTTTTTGTAACTACCTGCATTTTTGTCAGCTTCCTCAATTATTTTGTTTCACAGTGGATATATAGCATTTTTTGTAACTAACTCACCACCTTGGTGATTTTTGTATACTCCCTCTTTTGGGGGCTATGTTTTCTACTGTCTTTCTTCCCCTTAATATAAGTCAAATTTTCTCAAAAAAAGAAAAAGAAAAAAAAAGAATGAAACGATTTTTTAATTTTAAACAGAATTCAAAGGTTCCATTGCTAAACATTACATTAGTTTGTGTCCAACCAGAGCTGCATGGAGATAATATCAATGATAAGATTCAAGATGAAGAAATGAGCTTTTTTTTTGAGAAAAGGTTAACTTAAAGATGAAGAAGTGAGTTGTTTTCATGAAATTACGATGTTGATTAGTCATAGTGGATGGAAGGCTCGCAAAGAAGCCATACATCAATCTTTAAAGGCCCTACCATATTTCACGAACATACTTCCAGAAACATATAACTAAAACACAAAAAGAAAAAGGAGAAACTAGGTTAGGATGCAGTATCTATTTATGTATTTTTATCTATGTGGAACCATCAAGTCCTTACCACCAAATTCAGTATTGATAGGTTATTAGCAAATCATTTAGTGCCATTTGAAGATTTGTTGAAAATTTATAATTGCTACAATGTGAACACAGCCAACAAAGATAAGGCCACCTCTGATTTTGTTGCAGCCACTTACAAGAATCAGATGGCTTTCAAAGCAGTCCGCTGAGTATATTGACACAATTTATTCCTCTTAGCTCATCTTCTGTTGCTGATGCAGATGGCTAATCCTTTATCCATTCCTCAAATTCCCCCATTAAATAGGTAATCAACAACCACCATCTTTATCTGATCAAGATGAGGCATCTCAACATTCAAAACTTTTTAAGTCAAAATGCCCAATTCATTCTGCAATATTATTCTTCCAATAATTTTGATATCAACTGCAAGTTATCTGGGTTAGCAGCATGACAATAACCAAATATTCTTGCACTTTACAAGTAAGATTCAACTTGTAGATGTTTCACGGTATTTTACATTACTCTATCCTGGTGAAATAGCATTTCTAATTTGCTACAACCTCAAAGATTGGATCAACACTCGGCAACCATTCTCTTAAGGTTTGGCCTCCACTTTCGAATGTTATTCTCTTATTCATAAAATCCAACCTTGAATTTTCAGTAAAAGTCCCATAGCCCAAGATTATGTTGAAGAATACTTTCTTTACTTTTTCATTATTGGGTGCGTAGTTCTTTTATCATTTCCAAAGTTTCAACTGGATCCTTGAGAAGCATCACCATGCATCCCTGCAAGAACATTCCCCATTACTGAAATGGTGAAACCTATTGGAGTCCCTCAAAATGATAGAACGATTAGAGACACGTGATACCAACTTTATGAACAAATGGCAATCACCACATACACGAATGTTCTTCATTATCCTTATTGGTATCCCATGAGGCTTGCTGATCAACCCAAATGCGAGGGCCAGCTTCTCGCTATGGTAGCATATTGATTCAAGCTTCTCTCTCTCCCCCACATCTTGTAAAACAAAGTTCGTATCATGAACATAACCAGCTTCCCTCAATTCCTCAACCAGCCTTCTCAATTCTCTATAAATCATTTGGGTTTGTGGATGGGTCCTATCCTCTGCCAAGAAAGTGTGAACCTGGTTATTGATCTCGATTGAGCTATAAGCTGGAGATTTCTTCACATTCCTATCCTTCATAAGCTTCCTTATAGAGGCAACATCACCCCATCTCTCACATGCTGCATACATGTTTGATAACATTATGTAAGGCCCTGAATCTTGGGGATTTAGCTCAAATATATGCCTTGCTGCAACTTCTGCAAGCTCGATATTGCCATTAATCTTGCAAATTGAAAGCAAAGTAGACCAAATTATGTAATTGGGTTTGTTGGGCATGCTCATAATTAACTCCATTGCTTGCTCAAGCTTGCCAAAATGACCGAGAAGGTTGATTATACAAGCATAGTGATCAGGGCTCGGCGCCATGCCATGTAATTCACTAATTGAATGGAAGTACCTGAGCCCTTCATCGAGCAAGCGTTCATGACCGCAAGCTGAGAGCACACCAACAAAGGTAATATCATCGGGTTTTATATGAGACTGTAACATCTTCTCATAAAGCACTATGGCATCCATGTCTCGCCCATTCTGAGCAAAACCTGTGATCATTGCATTCCAAGACACCACATTTCGAACGCGCATTAATTCGAACAAAACCCATGAATCCCCAACCTCTCCACACTTGGCATACATATTCAGAAGCGCACTTGATACAAGCAAATCTGATTGAAACCCGATTGCCATGGCTTGAGCATGGATTGCCTTACCAATCTCTACACATGCCAATCCAGCACAAGCACTAACTACACTAGATAGAGTGAAGCTATCAGGCCTAACACTTGAACCCAACATCTTAACAAAGAGTTTCAAAGCCTGACCATAAACCCCATTCTGCACATAACCCGATATCATTGCAGTCCAAGACACCCCATCCCTCTCATTCTCAGTCATCCCATCAAACAAGTCGCTAGCCTCCATGACAAATCCAAGTCTCAAATATGCCGTAAGAGCACTAGACAAAGTGATAGCATCTGGCTGAACTCTATATTTCTTCATTTCAAGAAACACATTGAGAGACTCCCTGGGTAGAGAGTTTTTCAAATAAGCAGCAATCATGGCATTCCAAGAAACCACATTTCTTTGAGGCATTTCATCGAAAATTTGACGAGCCGCTTTAATGCCACCGCACTTTGCATACATCCCAAGAAGGGCATTAAGAACGAATGGGTTCATTGGGGCCAAGCCGTGAACGAGCCTTGCATGCACCTGGCGACCGAGCCATGGGTTCGAAAGGCTCGAGCACGCGTTAAGTGCTTGAACATGGGCCCGCGCACATGGCTTGGGCATGTCGATGAAGCATTGCAAGGCCTCCTCAAAGTGGCCGTGAGAGATAAGAGAAGCCATGGTGGAGTTGCAGGGAAGTTGGGTTCTTTGGAACGTTTCATCGAGGAGTTGGCGTGCAAGGCGTGTGGTGGCTCGCCTTGTAAACATGAGTTGGGGTTTTCTTGATTTGGGTTTGTTTTAATGGCGGCCAACATAGCATTTTTGGATTAGTTGCAGAGATCTTTGGGACTTGTATGCGTTTGGTGCGGAGACAGAGAAGGACTTGAAGTTGAGCTAGTTGCCGTGTTTCGCATGTGTAATAGCAAAACAGAAAGCTACCTCCATGTCCTCTCATGGCCAATTCGTAGCTCTGCTTCCATTACACCACCCAAGAGCGCATGTAAAACGCTCCCGCGGGAGCGTGCTGTACACTTATTCCATCGGGTGAAAGTGGCACATGCGAGGGCTTTTCTTTCTAAATCGTGAGTTTTTAGATCCACTTGATAATTGCCATTATTATTTTTGAGAAAAAGAAGAAAATCGGATTTTGAGTTTTTCAAGACTTACATCTTTTTTCCCCAAAATTGAACGGTCTCAATTTAATCTTGATATATTATTTTTTAAGGTAATATATATAGTATAATTTAGAAATTGTTCTTTTTGGATAAGTCGATTGGTTGAAGAGGTTACATTTCAAATTTGAGGTCGGGAAAATATTTCTTAAACATTTTTTAATCGAGGTAGTAAATAGACAAAATGCTGGTTATATTAAATTTGATACTGATTTATAGAAAAGTCAAGTTCTACACCCATGTAATAACTTTATTAGAGATCCGTATCAACTTTAATGGTGATCCTTTGAGGTCCTACACATATGGGTGTAAAAGGATCCTATAGGATCATTACTCATTATATAAATAATGAAGTCGTTTATATAAAATGTCATTCTCATACTATAGAAGTAAGGCACACTACTTGAAAAGGTTGAGTCGATGCTGAAAATTCCTTCAATCGATGTTGAGATGGATGAATGCAGTAGATATGAGGTTATTAAGATGGATGAGTGACAAGACAAAAATGGATAATATTCGAAATGAAACCATTCAAGATAATTTAGGTATGGCACCAATTAGCGATAAAATGAGAAAGAGTAGACTTAAGTGGGCTGGCTATGTATGGTACCGACCAAGTACAACACTTGTTATGATGTTCGAGTTAGTTCAAGTGGAATGACTTAAAAGGGCAAGGGGTAGACCCAAAAAGACGTGGTTGGAAGTAGTTTAAAAAGACATTGGGACTTATGGCCCCACAAGCTCATTGCCCACAATCTATGGTAGGGACTCATGCTCGGCTTATCAAAACGATCTAATATATGGCTCTAGACTCTCAGGTTACAGTAGGTTACTGGCGCACTCTTATGAGATGGGCTCATGTGGAGGCGGAGGTCCTCTCTAGGCACATGTATATTTTTCTTTCAAGCGAATCATCTATGAAAGAGTTGATTTCCATTTACGGCTTTATATGCACATACTATGAGATGATTCGATATCAAGGATTTTGCATATGGTATCTGAAAACCTAACATTCTCATACATGGCCATTGCTCTTAATTACTCGAGGTTTTATCATATTCTAGGTTTCGCGGTGTGCTGGCTAACATGCTGTCATGAGATACTAAACAATCCGACCTTGACAATAGATAACTCTCAACCCTCTCGATACATTCTTCTCACGCTCAAGTCTTGTGACATAGGGTTTTTTTACTCATAATCATATTTTACAAGATCCTAGAGTTATATCGCTCTCGTTAACTCCCAGTGCACAGAAGAGCTTCCAACGGACTCATCACGGATAAAAAATATAAAAAATGGATGGCTTCTTTCTTTCTACTTATTTATGCATAACAAAGCATGGGCTATGAATTATTGCTATGTAGGGTTTAACCCGAGACCGTGCATGTCTAGTAATACAAGTACCGGACGATGAAAACAGAAACCGTCGGTGCAAATTTAATAAAACAAACATTAATGCAATGTGTGTTTCATTTGTACGATCTCCAAGGTGTAAACCTTTTACTGTCTATTTCAAAATTTTAAATATATTTTTCGTGTTCTAATTATCATAATTGTTTCTTCCGCATCAATTATGAGCAAAGAACATGGGCTAGGTAAGTTAGCCATTTGGGACAAAATTTGGAAGGTCTATATAATTTGCAAGTCAGATAAAAAACCTAATTTATTCAAGAGTTGTTTTTAGGGTCATAGAGTCGCCCTAGAATGACATATATCCCATTCTTGTAATTATAATCCCAAATAAACTCTCAGGTGTATAAAAAGGTCATGTACACCATCCGTGTTAAAAGAAAATATTGTTGAATACCCTCCTTACACTTGTCATTTTCAAATTATAATATTTGTTCGTCTTTTTTGTTCTTCTTATGACCCGTTCCAAAGCCTAAAAAAGGTGTTGCAATTATTCAAGTGGCTTAATAAGTGTCTTTAAAAGGGGAATGCGCAATTTTTTGCACAAGGTTTCAAAATTTGTCCATGTCCTTGTACGGCGGAGTTCTTGTAAACGAACTTGGGAAAGAAAGAGAAAAAAAAAACTTGCGAAAACAAAAGAGTATTGAAAAATATAGAATTTAAGTTTTTTTTAAAATTAATGTATAAATATTTTATATATAATTTTGATATTTTTTATGACGATTGCGAGTTTTTCTTGCAAGTTCCATTTATATTTTTCCATTTTTTGTGTTTTTTTTCTCATTGTTTCATAATTTTTCTAAATCTGTCTTTATATATTTTTGAAAAAAATATAAAAAAGCCTCTTACAATATCACTAAAATTATCAAAATATTACAAATTACACTTTAATGTATCCTTTTAAATTTATATATCAATCAGGTACGTCTTCAAAATAATTGTTGAAGAATTTCCAAATTGAACCTATTCGGGTAAGGGAAGCTGAACAATTAATGGTGTTTTCATAATCATACCTCAAGGAAGCCTTAACCAAATGATAATTGGGATAAAAGTATCAAAATACCCCTAGTTATTGTGTCTTCCCAACATCAAACAAGGGTGATTTGAAAATTGATAATTATTTTCTAGTGATGTACCTAATTGACATCAAAATTTAAAAGCAAATCCTTAATATACTTTGTAATCTTTTGACTCCTTTAGTGATCTTTTAGCAGGTTTCAACCTGTTTTTTGACATTTTTCCGATATATTTTTAACATCTTGCTAGGACTGTTATTGTTGTTTGTAATTTACTTTGGTTTCTACTATATTTAACTTTTAACAAATTTCTTATAAATTTTTTTTTTTTTTTTTGACAAGGTTAAAAACTTTTATTGATCGAGTGTTGACAAAGCATCAGATTACAAATTTGGAATCAAGACATTAGACACAGAAAAAGAGGACATAGAGGGTCCATGCTTGGCTAATCGATCAGCTGCATCATTGACATCACGGTAGACATTAGGCTTATAAACTACTCGGGTGAATTCACTCCCTTGGTTACTCAGCTTGGTTAGACCTCAATTCTACAACCCCGAGCTGAGTAAATGAACCTTATTTTACTGAGTAAAAATATTTAGTTGTTTTTTTTTTTAGTTGACAAAGGTTGAAAACTTTTATTGATAGAGTGCTAACAAAGCATCATATTACAAATTTGGAATCAAGACATTAGACACAAAAAAAGAGGGCATAGAGATTCCATGCTTGGCTAATCGATCAGCTACATCATTGACCTCACGGTAGACATTGAGCTTATAAACTACTCGGGTGAATTCACTCCCTTGGTTACTCAGCTCGGTTAGAGCTCAATTCTAGAACCCCGAGCTGAGTAAATGAACCTTGCTCCTTTGCCTCAAAAATTTATGACAGGGCTTTTGGGTGCCTAGAGCTGCAGAATTATTATAGTATGGGTGTGGTTTGTATAGAGCCTAGGCTCTAAACAATCAAATTAGAGCACACATTCAAATAGTATCGAGAAATGTGGTTTCTAATATTGAAAATCTTTTTGATAGCCTTAAATATATTTTCATATTTATTTATAAAATTTAAGGCTTCAAAAATTGTGTAGATCAACATATCCATGAAAACTTCAAAATTGATGGTCCAAAAATGTACTACAAAATACACTATTTTCAAAAATTGAAATCCATTTTTTTCTCGTGTCCATGTATCTTGATGTCGAGATGAACAATTTGAAGATATTTGAGCATCAAAACAACCTCTTCTAGTGAAATTTTGTAGTTAAAACTTTGAGATAGGCTTAAATATGATTGTTTAGAGCCTCGGCTCTATATAAATTTTTCCCTTTAGTATTGCCCTCTACTTCAATCTCCAAATGTTTTAAAGGCATGTTCCATTAAATGGAGCAACACATTCTTATTCATTGTCGTTGTAGCATTGATGTTCTCCCTCCTCTTTGGATTTGTAACGAAAAACGAGTTGAATCTTACCTCAATCCACCTTGTCGCTACGTTAAAGGTGAGAACTGTTTCCTTCCATATAAAAAGAAATAAAAAAGATATGTTCATCTGTTGGTCTCTTCCACACAAACTTCAAAGGGTTACGACTCTTCAGAATCAATCAAATGTAATATGTCAATGTCTAAGGGCACATTTAGTACACGTGAAAATACTTCTATGGAAGTATTTTTAAAGACATATTTGGTATGCGTGAAAATACTTCTGTGAAAATATTTCTTATGAAAAAACTCTTTATTTGATTAGGATGGGATTTTTTCCACCCCAATTGGCTACCAAATGGTATGAAAAAAACATACGAGGATTAATTGGTATGTAAAAACTCACACCTAATAACATAAGGGAGTTTTTTCATGTGAAAATATTTCATATGAAAAAACTCTTTATTTGATTAGGATGGGAGTTTTTTCATCCCAATTGGTTACAAATTGGTATGAAAAAAACTCATGAGGATTAATTGGTGTAAAAAAACCCACACTTAATAACATGAGAGTGTGAAAAAACCCACACTTAATAACATGAGAGAGTTTTTTCACGTGAAAATACTTTCACAGAAATATTTTCACTTATATTAAAATTGCCCTAAGTTGGGTGAGTTAGCTCGAGTTTTACAGCACTCAGGCAATTCAGTATAGTAGTCACAAGAGTGCTGTAGAGGTGCCTGGACTCTGAGTGTGGCACTACTATTTACCAGAACAGGGTTGCAGAAGATGAGTAACTCGACCAAATCTGATTCAAACCGGCTGAGTTTTAAGATACCGGGTAAGAAAAGAGTAGGTTTCCCAGGACTAGGACTACGTTTTTGAAAACCTTGAACTTGCTCATGCAGACCGATTGCCTGACTGCTCGAAAAACCCGAGAGCATTGTATAAAAAATTTGTCTGATAAGTGAAACCCCACAATGCAATCTCTCTTTGCTCGTCAATGGCTGAATTTCCCAAGTTCGATTACTAAAGGGGAGTTTTCGAG